AAAAAAAAAAAAAAAAAAAATTTACTGAGCAAGATATACTGAGGTTGAAATTAATTATGGAGCTCTGTCGACAGACTACATACCTTCTTCTGGGAAATCATGTAATTAATGACCCTACTGCAATCTTTCACATCACTCACAGTGATGCACCTCTGGGCCTATGAGCGGACCCAGTGCCAATCACCACAACTGGCCATGAAATGGGAGAGGTGCTCTGACCAAGCAGTAAATAAGTAAGCAAAACTCACCAAGTTTCCGTTCTCCTCCTTGTTTTCCTGGATCATTGATGGCAAACCTTTTAGAGACTGAGTACCAAACACCAACCCAAACCCACTTATTAATTGCAAAGTGCCAACACTGATGTTAAAACTGAGTGCGGGTTTAGTTTAGAAAAAACAACTCTACATTAACATCTTCTGTCTTAAAAATAAAACCCCCAGTAATACGCACACCATAGGTTCGCCACCACTGGCCTAGATGGTCAACCCGTAATTATGGAGCGCACAATTTCTTCAGTCTGTCAAGCCATTACTCTGGAAGGCCCACCGCATTCAATGAGCCTTAACCGTCATGGAGTTTATTCTCCGGTGGGGGAATGGGAGAAAGAAGACAACGACAGACCAAGAGTAGCAAGGAGCTGACATCTGAAGCACCAGAGGCACAGGACAAATAAGCATCACTGGCAAGCCAGGCAGAGTGGCACTTGCTGTAGTCCCAGGATGAGGCAGGAAGATTGCATAAAGAACAGTCTGGGCAACTTAGCAAGACCCTGTCTCGAATAAAAAGGGCTGGGCGTGTAGCTCAGTGGTAAAGTATTTGCCTAGCATGCTCAGAGCCCTGGGTCCAATCCCCAGTAGCAGGGTGGAGGATGGGAATGCCACTAGTATTTTGAAGTCATACCTTTTTTTTTTTTTTTTTTGTGGAGACTGGGTCTCACTATGCAGTTGAGACTGACCTGGAACTCACTACATAGCCCAGGCTGGTCTCCAACTCACAGCGATCCTCCTGCCTCAGCCTCCTGAGTGCCGGGATTACAGGCGTGCGCCACCATGCCCGGCTTGAAGTCCTATCTTAATGAGAGATTTTTAACTTTGGAAATAGTGTTGCATAAGACTCCATTTAGATTTCCTTTGCAACTACAGAGTGCTTTCAAGTTAACTAGAAGCGAACAGAATTCATCCTCAAGGAGGTTTAAGCTTAGGTTGCTGCTTCTATTCAGGCTTTGTCATCACACCTTTGCAATTTCATCTGACACCAATTCCTTTTGTTGCTGCTGTGCTGTTTTGTTTTTTTGAGACAGGTTCTTGCTCTGTAGTTCAGGCTGGCCTTGAACTCACTATGTCATCCAGTCAGGCCTTGAATTCTCAGCACTATTCCTGCCTCAGCCTTCTCAATGCTAGGATTACAGGCGTGCGCCACCATACCCAGTAAGAGACACCGATTCTCATCACGCAGGTTCAGTTCTGTTCTTAAAGATTATTTCCCATTACAGGATCAAAGGACAGACTACCCAGGGGCAAAACATTTAAGGGCTGGAGATTTAGTTCAGTGGTTCTGCCATTGGCCTGTAAGCGCAAGGACCTGAGTTCAATCCCCATTACCAAAAAACAAACAAACAAATAAATTGGGGTTCAAAAATGGAGGAGGGTTTGTCACTTGGGGGACATGTGGCAATGGCTGGAACATCACAGAGGATGAGGTGACGTTCCTGGCATCTGGCAGACGAAAGCCAGGACACTGCTAACCATCCTTCAATACCGAGAAAAACCCCAGATGATCAGCCCCAGACGGTACTGAGCAGTACTGAGGCGAGGAGCCCTGTTTGAAAGGCAGCCCCAAAGTCAAAGTGGAGTTGGGCTGTTCACGCACCCCACCTAAATCTGCATCCGTCAGCACAGATGTTTCGTGGTGCTGGGGATCAAACCCGGGGCCTCACGTGTAGCAGGCGAGCTCTCTACCACTGAGTCGCACCTCCAGCTCCAGGACTGCTGTTTTTTGTGTGTGGTACTGGGGCTGAAGGCTGGTGCGCTCCACCTCCGAGCTACATCTCCAACTGCTTCTCTTCATTTATTCATTTTATTTGAGACAGGGTCTCACCAAGTGGCCCAAGATGGCCTTGAACTCATAATCCACCTGCCTCAGCCTCCAACGGAAATAAAGCAAACACTGCTCGTTCACAGAAGTCCCCACACGACCTCGGGGCACACAGAAATCCAGCGCTTCGTTGGCCATCGTTGCTTCTTCTTTCATCTGCAGCAGCCTCCTCTCCAACTCGTCTCTCGTGGGCTCGGCCTCCTCCCGCATCTGCTTCTCTCGAGCCAGGCGTTGCCGCTCCATCTGGGGGTGAAGGAGAGCAGCACTGATGCACGCTGCTCCTAAGGCCCCTCCCCGAAACCCCGTCTGAGGGGCCTCCCGCCGAAGGCCCTTCCCTTCTCTTTACTTTTGGCAGCTCGGGTCACTCCTACCACCCACCACCCTGTTTTAAACCAGTCTCTTAAACAGGAGTGGGAAGCTGTGCTCCTTGGAAGAAATTCTAGGAGTGAACAAATAAACAAATGAAGAACAAAACACCGAGTTCGGCATCCGCCTGGACAGAAGGGAACGATCCTATGAGGCGTTCGGCAACAGTGGCCTTGTGATGCCCCTGTTGGTTGGGAAACCTCACACAGCTTCTTCCTGTGGCCCGCGGATCATAATGCAGGTTCCTCCGCCCTGAGCTGCAGCACGCAGGCAGCTCTCTCATCTGGTCAGAGGAGATGTCTCATCGTTTCTAATCCACACAGACCCTTCAAACACCTCCGATCTCATCCACAATAGCTCCACTCCCGTCTCTACCCATGGAGAAGATGGACCCGTGTGTGAGGTATCAGTGGCTCCCACAGTTTCTCACAGGGGAAGCTGCAACAGCCACAGCACAGCCGCACAGGGCCCCCGCAGAGGCAACTCCGGAGCCAGGCAGGGAACACAGCCCCCCATCCTTAAGGCAACAGTACACAGCCTCGCTGCCATGTCCCTGCTGCCTCCCCTGCCTTCCCGATCACCTGCCGAGCTGAATATGGGCACCACACCTAGGACATCGCTAGCCTCTGTGATCCCAGAGTACTATAACTGAGCTCAGAAAGCAGAAGCCGCAAGTGACCACTGCATTATTTTCTGCCTTCAGTGATGAAAGCACATTTAATGACTTCCTTTTTGCTTTAATCTTATCACAAACTCCAGTAAATTTCTAACACCGCTGCTTTTTCTAAATATGAAGCAAAAAAAAAAAAAAAAAAAGTATCGGAACATTAAAGAATAACGCACAGACAAGCAATAAAATACTCTTTAAGTTCTCTGCTTTTCCTCTTGCAGGTTAATGAAAAGCTTGGCCAATTTGTTCCCTAATTTCCATCATATTATTTCCATTTCCATTATTCACCTCTTGAAAAAAGGCCCAGGCAGCACCCTTCAGTTCCCAGCACTACACTTTCCTAGACCTCTTCCCACTAATAAAAGACTTCCCTATCTGCAAAGCAGTTTATCACTTCTAACAAGAATGACCCAGGCTTCAGGCACAACAGGTCTTCTGATCGGAGACAAGGAGGTATCCTTAGCGCCACTTGATGGATGAGAAAATGTGAGACCCACACCCAGTGTCAGATCCAGCTCCAAGGTCACTGCGCTAATGGGCCATGAAGCCCTTGACCTCTAGCTGCTCACAGGCCATGGGGGTGTCTCTTGCCCTAAAGCAGTGAGTGCAGGCTGGGAGGGTATTCAGCTATTCTTTGCCCGGGCCCAGAGGCCTGCATGGTCCTTGACAATTTCAGACCTCTCGCTTCTAAGCTTTGCTCTACTGAGAAAGATGTCAAAGTGAGCCTTCTTCAAGTTGTCACTACGAGCTTATACTGGCTCACTAGCATTTCTGCTTCCAAGAAAACCAATCCCATCAACCCAAAGCACCTCAAAGAGCACATCAATGGCCCACTGTCCCAGAAAGCAAGGAGATGGACAGCTGATAGCTGACTAGACCAAACCCGGCATCTCACGCTAAATCCCGGGGTGGGAAGTCAGCCTCTCTGGGATAGCCAAATCAGACAGCAGCACACAAACTAATTATTACACCTCTGAGCTAGCAAGTCTTGAGAGCAGCCCACTGCACCTGCCGTTACTCTATCTAGCAGTTCAGCCAAAAGCACGATCGATATTCCTAGCAGTGAGGCTCAAATTAGGTGTACGGATTTTGGAGAGTACGGCAGGTCTGTGAGTAGAAAACAATGATGCAGCCCTTCCAGTGTGCTGATAGGTGCTCCTGGCACCTCCCATCGCGTGGTGTGTGCCCAACCTGACCCGCAGTGAGGAAGCGCAGCCTGAGTCTAATTAGCATTCCAGCAGTAAGCAATGAAATGCCGCCATCTACTCCATCACCATCTAATTAGAAAAGGAGCCATGCAAAAAGAAAGACAGCTAGTAGCTGGGGGGACAAAAGCACTCGGCCACCACATTCCAAACCTGTGGTAATCACACTTAATTTCACTTAAGTTTACAAATGACTAGAGATGTTTCCTGTAGATATGCTTTTAGAATGTATTGCTCATTTTCAAGCTAACTTGCCACCAGCTGGCTAGCAACTAATAAAGATCCAACAGGATAAAATAAGAGCCGGCACAGCCATGGTGAAAGGATTCCTACTGGCCCACAACCACTCTTACCTCCTAAGCCACAAGTGACCAAGCAGGGGCATCATCAGTTAAAACAAGGCCTTGCTTACCTGCTTTCTAGCCTTCTCTTCCCTGGCCTGGGCTTTCATCTGCTGAACTTCCAAAGAATCAGCTTTCCTTCGCCTCATAAATAGGTCATGGTTCCCAATACAAAGCTGGAGAATCTATGGCCACAGAAACAAGAAACATGTTAAACCCACAAATACGCTTTGCTGTCCCTCAGTCCGACCCATGCTACAGCATCTTAGGCTCTGCTGGGGAACAGAAAAGCCGAGGAAGGAATGGAAGTAAAATATGAAAGCTCTACTGACAGCCTCTAGTGCTCTGAGCTCTGGAGACGCGCAAAATGAAGAGGCCAGGGCTGGGGATTTAGCTCAGGGGCTCTGTGCCTGCCTTGCAAGTGCAAGGTCGTGAGCTTGATCCCCGGTACCAAAAACAAAACACCCAAAATGAAGAGGCCTCAGATGAGCTAGGAAGTAAAATCCGCCTGTGAAGAGAGGAACAGATACTTTATCATGCCCTTCAGATGCATCATGCCCTCCCAGGTCAAGATGTGCCTCTGCAGATCAGGGAGGACGAGAAAGCCTATTTAGTAACTTGGGCTAGGAAAAACATAAATTGGATCCCTCTCTCACACCAATACACGAAAATGGACTCCAGAAGAATTAAAGATTTGAAAACAAAGATGAAGCCCTCGAAACTTTTCATAGAGAATACAGAAGAATATCTTCGTAATTGTAAGAAAAGGAAAAATACTAAGACACAAAAAGCACCAATGGTTAAGGAAAAGATTCTTATGCTTTTTCACAACAAAATTTTAAAAAATTTCTTTGCAGGCCAGTGATGTAGCTCAGTAGCACACCATGCCTGCCTGGCAAGTGCAAGGTCCTAAGTTCAATCCCAGATACAGGAAAAAAAAAAAAAAAATGTTTCTCACGACATTATAAAAGAAAAGGAAAAACAAATTGTACATTGGGAGAAGACACAACCAATACAAAAAAATAAATTAAAAATCTAAGAGCGTAACAGTCAAAAGACCACTGAAACAAATATCTAACAGACAGGAAATAAAACTGGCCAATAAATATATTCAAAGATGTTCAAGTTATCAGGTATAATTGCTCAGACCTTTAATCCCAGATATTCAGGAAGCTGAGGCAGAGGATCACAAGTTCAAGGTTAGCATGGGGAACCCTGCCTCAAAATGTAAAAAAAAAAAAAAAAAAAAGCCTAAGGACTGGGGACTTAGCTCAGTGGCACTGCGCCTGCCTTGCAAGTGCAAGGTCCTGAGTTCGATCCCCATACCAAAAAAATAATAATGATGATAAAATAAAGCCTGGGAACATAGCTCAGTGTGAGACCCTGGATTTAATCACCAATAGCAAAATTTAAAAAGGATGTTCAATTTCATTGGTAATCATAAAAATGTAAATTAATATGACAAAGAGGGCTGGGAGCGTAGCTCAGTGGTAGAATATTTGCTCGGTATGCATGAGGCCTGGCTTCAATCTTCAGTATGGGGAAAAAAATTTAGGTTTCACTCTACAGCTTAAGCTAAAAAAAAACAAACAAAAAACTGTACCAAGTGAGCTGTCATTCTATAGCCTACAATCCTAGCTACGTAAATCTGAGTCTAGAATCCCAGCACCCTGGGAAGCCAAAGCAACAGGTTCACAACTTGGAGCCAGCCTGGGCAACTTAGTGGTTTAGCAAGACCAAGTCTCAAAATAAAAAAATACAGTGCGGATATAGCTTAATGTGAACGTCCTCAGTTCAATCCACAGCACAAATAGACAGAGGGTGGGATTTAGCTCAGTGGTAGAGCTAAAGGCCCGGGGTTCAGTCTTTAGCACCAAAACTTAAAAAAAGAAGAACAATGCCGGGTGAGGTGGCGCACACCTGTAATCCCAGCACTCGGGAGGCTGAGGCAGGAGGACTGCTGTGAGTTCGAGACCAGCCTGGGCTACATAGTGAGTTCCAGGTCAGTCTCAACTACATAGTGAGACCCTGTCTCAAAGACTCAAAGAGAAAAAGGTAAAAAACCAGATAGATAGAAAGATAGATGACTGGGGCTCGAAGTGAGGCGCAGTGGTAGAGCACACGACTATCATGTGCAAGGCCTGGGTTCAATCCCCCATACTATAAGAAAAGAAAAAACAGAAACATGTCACTCTGGCATTCTTTAAAAAGCAGCACTCAATTTTTCAGAAAAGCAACAGTTATCAGTAATGAAACCCAGAATCTCACCTTACCAGTTTATTAACTCGAAGCTTTGAGGAGTTAAATTTGAAGACATCGATTTTCTTATCCAGTGGTTTAATAGTAAACTGAAAGAAGAAAGTAGAAAATAGTTTCACCGTGACAACCTACATTGCTACCACCAGTGAGGAAATTCCACAAAGGCAGCAACCACAGGGAGCACAGTCTAGCATGAGGCTGCCTTGCCCTGGCTTCCTGGTGCCCAGGCACAAAGTCCGTGAATCAGGAATGTCACGGGTACGAGGTCTGGGGCTTTGGAGGCTCAGGGTCCTAAACCGTCTTGGGTAGCTGCGAGGAAGGGATGTATGCTGACCTTAAATTAGAACCTAGGATGAGTCCACCCTGAGGCTGACAGTGGAGGGCCACACAGTCTAAGAAGGCACAGCTCCGGCCTTCAGGACGCTCAGAACCTCACAGAAACTAGACTAACAGCAGCTGATTACTCACGAAATGACACAATACATCACTGTCTTACGGGTGGTACACATCATAAACATCCATCACAAATGCTTGGAGTAGACTCAGCTCGTGCAGGAGGGGACTAGAGCTGGTGTTAGATGAATACGACAAGGGACGTGAGTGCAGATCGGCGGTGAAGGGCTTGCTCACATGCGCAGTCTTAGGTTCCATCCCCAGTACTGCAAAAACAAGAGTGGGGTGGGGAAGGCCATGACAGAGCAGCTACAAGGCAGGGGGGCATTCTAGATCGGGCAAGCAGTAGCAATACAGTAGAGACAGGGGTAGAGACAGGAAAGGGGCGAGGAGAGTTATTGAGTTTTTGGAGTTAATGATACAGCGGGCTTAGACTGGGACGGAGGCAGGGGTGGGCTGTGGGGGTGATGGTGAGGAGTAAAAGACAGGGGTTTAGATTTAATATGACAGGATACAGGCAGTGGCTATGGCCTCCAAATGAAGGATAATTCGATAAAAGCTATTAATAGCATGAATAAAAATGGATTGTGTACAACAGAAAAACATAGTTCCTGAACTCAAAGTGTACAGAAAAATGAATAATGAAGACAGGAGAGGAACTTAGGAGAAACCAGGGCCAGGCTCCTAGCTGGAAAGAACAAATGTGATCACCACTCTCAACCACTACTGAGGGCCCAGACACATCCGAGAGTCCAAATCCCAGCACTTGGGAGGCCGTGGCAACAGGATCACTGTGAGTTTGAGGCCAGCCTGGGCTACATAGTGAGTTCAGGGCCAGCCTGAACTACAAAGGGAGACCCTGCCTCAAAAATCCAAAACAAACAAAATCATGTTGGTGATAGGAAAGGGGATCAGGGTATTGGGGAATGTGGAAATGATCAAGATATTCTTTATGCACATGCCAATTCCCCAAAATGAATGTAATTATGATGTGTTGCAAACATAATGATAATAAAGAAAAATTGGGAGAAGCCTATCGAAACTGGGTGTGGTAGTGCATGTCTGTAATGTCAGTACTCTGGGAGGCTGAGGCAGGAGGATTCCAAGTTCGACCCTAGCCCAGGCAATTTAGCAACTTAGCAGGACCCTCTCTCAAAAATGAAAAAATAAAAGGGCTAGAGATGCAGTTCAGTGCAAAGGCCCCAGATTAAGTCCCCTATCCTAGGGAGGGGAGCATACCCATTCCTAAGAAAGTCTTGCTTAGCCACCGCCAAAACTGAAAAAAAAAGGGAGGGGGGGATTACTGGACTGGGGATAGCTCAGTAGAAGGGCACGTATCTAGCATGCGTGAATCCCTGGGTTTGATCCCCAGCACCACAACCTCCCCCCAATAAAATCCCAAATATCAAAACTAACAAAAAGACTGACTTAGCAGATACACATAACTCGTCATATTGTTCAACAAGGGATTAGCACACTGAGGACAGAATGTGATTCTTTGTTCAGCTTTTGGCCAAGTTAGCATAGAAGCAGTATCGCCCTTTCTGTAGGCTGCTATTTATGAATTCCCTGAGCTTATTTCTGGACTTGCTGTCAAACTCCAGAGCTGTCAGTGGGAAACCACAAGTAGTGGGGAAACCACAGGCTCCGCGCTATGCCAGGGCATACACAAAGAATCAATGGAGGACTTAAAATAAACTAACGCTTCTGCTTTGACAGCATAGCTGTCTGGCATAACTACCAAGACTTCCTCCTATTATGCCAAGGCAGTTGGAGGCCTGCTTACCACCTGAATTACGGCCATGATGGAGGATGATGGTACCTCGCCCCTGGAGAGGGCAGATTATAGAGTTTGTTGTGTGAGGCCACACTAGGGGAGACTTTAATCCTTGGATTCTCTGCAAAATGAGTGTTTAGGGAGCTTTATTGCACAAATGTGTGTTGTGCAGTAAAAAGACTTATGAAATTGGGAGGCGAAGAACTCCACACTGCACCGCATCTATATAGCTTTTTCCAATTTAGGTACTTTATAAAAAGAACTGTCTGGGGCCGGCGATTTAGCTCAGTGGTTCCACCACCAAGCGCAAGGACCCGAGTTCGATCCCTGGTACCAAAAAAGAACTACCTCATACTCATCTCCCGAGCTACCTACTTTAAAAGCTTCAAAGTCAGAATGTTTGGAATTAAGAAGCTCAATTGCCTTGATCAAGCACGACTGCATACATCCTATTCATGGACTGGAAACCAGGGCCTGGTGTTCCTTTCCTTGAGTTTCTACGATGAAACAGAAAATAGAAAATATGCTTCGGGCTTTGGGCTCTGCAGGCAACAAATGAAGCTAGCATCGCTATTCACGCTGCACTCTGTGCCTTGAATGCGACATAGTAAGGCACCGAGCACAGGCTAGATCTGCCCACCCCCCACCCGGGCCTATCGCCTTGTGTTCTCAGGATCCAGCCTCTGCTCTGCCCAGAAAAGCAGGGGCTGTGGCATCCATCAGCCACCCTCGGGTCCCAGCCCCTGCTACTTCATTCATCAAATCCAAGCCTCTGGATTCCTCTGCATCTCTGCTTCCTGCTGTAACACAGATACTAGAAACACAGCCCCTGCGCCTTTGCAGTAGGATTCTTACCAGGATTAAATAAAGTGCAAAAGTGCTTGTAAGTGGAAGTATTCTCTCTCTCTCTCCCCTCCCCTTCCTCCTTTTCCTCCTCTTCCTCGTCTTCACGATCATCCTTTCCCACTGCGCTCACTCACCACAGCAGTCAAACCATTCCTCAACGGTAACTTCCTAGAAGGCTGGGATGAGGTTTTCCTCCATCTTTGTTGACCCCGTGAAACCCAGCACAGAGCAGATGCCCAGCAATTCCTTGCAAATGAATGAGGAAGGGCTAGGGTATGGCTCAGTGGTACAGCGCTTATCTAGCACGCATAAGGCTCGGCACCGTTAGAAAATAAACACATAAATAAGTAAACAAGGAAACCTAGGACTGTGGCATTTGGGAAGAGCCATCTTATACAGAGAAATAGGAGAATTCTAGGAGTGCTCACCCCAGTTATTCAAATTTAATTATCCTTCAATTCTTGCATGTTAGTGTGATATCGTTATTCATTATTGCTGAAAAAGACACACATATTTGTGGGCATACCTGGGTGTTTCTCCACATGGGTCAAGCTCTGGACACTAAGAGAGGGCTCACTAAAGACCACGAGTAAAATACAAAGAGAATTTATCTCCAGAAATAAAAAGTCAAGTAATAAGAAAATGTTCTTCTTGGCTGGGTGTGGTGGTGCACACCTGTAATCCCAGCACTCGGGAGGCTGAGGCAGGAGGATCGCTGTGAGGTCGAGACCAGAGACTGGGTTACACAGTGAGTTCCAGGGCAGTCTCAACTACATAGTGACACCCTGTCTCAAAAAAACAAAACAATAACAACCAAAAAATGTTCTTCTTTTCTTTTTTAGTTTTCTTCGGGGTTTACCTCTGACAAGGTAAGCCTCCCAGTTTTTTGATAGTCAATAGCGGGGCCTCATAATGCCCTTTGAAAAAAAGACGCCAATACTGCTCTATAAATATTTTAAAAATCAACAACCAAAATCTCAAAGCCTGGAGAGTAAGGGACTTTTACAGATAATGAGAAAGGGGCCCGGCAAGGGAGAGAGATGGGAAAGATCTTTCGCTGGGCCACGGGCCCACCCGTGGCGTCTGCAGTACAGACATATCCTACCTCCTTGTCACTGTATGAAATGTTTCGGATTTCATTCCACGGGAAGGAGATCTTGGGGGTCAGCCTCTTCTCGGGGTCATAGATGTGCAGTCCCAGAGCATCCACTCCAAGCAGCAGCTCTGTGCCCTTTTTATTCTGCAGAGTCAATAAAGAGCAGGCGCTGTCGGCTTCAGCTGGAGATTTTGCTCAACTTTCCAAAGAACCTGGCTCACACTGTTACATCTGACAAGTTTCAACAGGTCCCCACAGAAATCATAGCTGTCTTGTGACGCAGGAGGCTTCTAGCTTCCACAAGGGGGACAGGGGCAGAGGCAAAACTGCACCATCCTTGGAACGTGGGTTACCTGCAAGGGTCACTGCGGGCTTTCCTCACTGGCTCAGTGGCTAAAGGAAGAATAATCTAAGTGTTTTACTTCTAATTAAATAACTAGGTTAACACAGATGTAGAGTTAAAACCTGTAGGTTAAAAAACAAACAAACAACAAACAAACAAACAAAACCTATAGGTTTAAGGGCCAGCGATTTAGCTCAGTGGCACCACACCTGCCTTGCAAGCACAAGGCCCTAAATTCAATCCCAAGGCACAAGGCCCTAAATTCAATGCCCCATAACAGCAACAACAAAAACAACCTGTAGGTTTAAGCATTTCTTATGTTAAAAGAAAAGTTGTTGGATGCTGGCGGTGTTGTTTAGTGGTAAGGCACTTGCCTGGTATGCCTAAGGCCCTGGGTTTGTTCCCCAACATCTACAAAAAAAGAGGAAAAGAAAAGGAAAAAAAAGATTGTTGGATTGCTAGATAGAAAATTTTAAGTGCTGGGACTAGATGGCCTCATGTTTAGGTTACAGTGCATTATTCTGTATGTTATACTTCAATATGGTAAAATGTTTACTGTAGCATCTGGGAACGTAGGCATTCACTGAAATATTCTTTTAGTTTTTCTGTATGTTTGCAATGTTTACTAATTAAATATTAGAAAAATATACCCAAATGAATTACGTACAATTTGCACCTCAGTGAAGCTTTTCAAAACACTGACAGCCCGGGTATATGCAACACCTCTGACAGTGGGTCTGGCCAGCAGTCAGGGCCAAGGGCCCTGGACCGCACATCACCAAGGCAGCCATGGACGAGTTGGGCCCCACCCTCGCTGACAGGCCCATCTGCCAGCTCCGTCGTCCAGGCCTTTGTTTTATGGTGGAAGGAAACTCCCCCACATGAGGACATCACAACTCCTAACCCCTTGCTGACAACAAGGAAATTGAAACGAGACTCTAGGGTAGGAAAACAGATCTGCAGAGAGAAAAGGTGCTTGCTTGGACTGTGACAAGAAGTGCCAGATAATCTAACAGCAGATGTCCGATGGAGATGCAAGCTCTCCAAGATAAATCTCTTTACACCTTCTAACACCTGAAGTCAGGCACTGTCACCAAGCCATGAGAGTCTTCTGCTTGTCCGCAAAGTGTTTAAAACTACAGTATTAGGCTTTGAATTCTTGCACTGCATTTTAGAAAACAAGGTATTTCGTCATGTTTCTATTCAGTTTCAATTGAGAATAAAGAGGGATTCTCCCTTCTGCCTTCCATCATCGCAAGCCTGATATTTCTAGAGATTAAAGAGGGGTGGACGCATTCCCTTTTAAATTGCTTTAATCACGTGGTACCTAACTACTATGTAGAAAAAAAAATTTGGGGGGGGTACCGGGATCAAACTCAGGACTCTGCGCTTGCGAGGTTAGGTACAGCGCAACTGAGCTAAATCCCTGGTCCAATATGCATAATTTTTATGTTTCTATATATCAGTTAAAAATTTAAATTTAAAGGGTCAGGGATTTAGCTCAGTGGCACAGTGCCTGCCTCACAAGCGCAAGGTCCAGAGTTTGATCCCTGGTACCCCCCCAAAAAGTTTCTTTTAAGTATATATCTTTCTTAGTTAATGGTAGAATTCTACAACCTCTAACATAAAGCCACTAAAATAAATCTTTAACTTTGGCTATTGTTCAATATAAGAAACACACAAATAGTATATGTTGGTCTGACTGATACAGAATATTCCTTACTGAGAAACTGGCCTACTGGTTCGGTTTGGTTTGGTTTGGTTCCAAGGGTTGAACTCAGGACCTTGTGCTTGTGAGGCCGGAGGTGGTACCACTAAGCTAAATCCCCAGCCTGCTTTTTGGTTTTTTGAGGATTAGAAAACTGTAATTTTCTAGAATCTGGGCAGTGGGCATATGAGGCAAGAGGACTTAGGCTGACACAGAAATGTGTTACATCAGCCTGACCTTAACAAAACAATTGTGAAATTTCTAAAAATGACTTTTTGCATTATTAAGGAACATCTTTTAGGAACTTGTTTGCTATATGAAATAATATAACATTTCACTGTACCTTATTTTTTTGCAAAGTAACCCATAAACATAGTAATGCCTTGGCTCCCAGATGCTTCTGTTTGTGAACAATTCAGTTTGCAAACAGAAGCTTTCCGGCAAAATTCTGCTTCCGTTCATAAATTCTGCATCGGGTGACACATAAGACCACGTCCACCTTCCCCACACAAACAGAACACAGCCATCTTCCCCACAACTGTAACAAAAATAAAGTTCGTCAACCAAGGTACCACTGTATCTCCACATAGGAAACTAATAAACTAAGTAGAAAGTTATTCCAGAATGTTGAAAATGTTTCAGTTTACCCAAATTTCGTGTGAAAAGTGAAGAAATACTAAAAAGGAAAGCATAACTGCGATCAGAGAGGTAGACGACTGTGGCCAATCGTTTTACCAGCCACGAAATATGAAATGCTTAGCACGTTGCACTCATTCCTTTGGGAAAAGCTGCCTATATGGTGCACCCAGCACCCAAACCCACCCAAGGGAGAAAGCTCTGCTAAAGGGGCAGGCACGAGCTGAACACAGATGCCTCTCTGCAGAAGAGATGGGTTCCCAGGGGACAGCAGACCATTCATGGTCTAAAAAGAAAACCAATTAGCCTCATAGTGAGAACAAGAATCCCACCCAAACAAATCAGCAATCTATAAAAGCAGCTCTACTCTCCAGGGACCCCCGGGAAAGACAGTTATTTCTAGGTGCTCCCTAGATCTCACAGAGCCTGAAATAATCAAATGTTAGACTCCCCGCATTCTAACAGGTTTCTGCTGAGAGCAGGAGGCCGAAGTTCCCCAAGGCTCAACTGACACTTAATTACCTATGGTGTCATTTGAAGTCCAAAAATAGACAATGAGCCCCTTCTTCTGTACCACTGAACCACAAAAGACTCTACCACCCTGGGATAAAGGGTAACCCAAGTGGGCCAGTATCTGTTTGCCGGCCAGGGAACTCGGGGAGGCTTCAACACACCCGGATTGCAAAGTAGTTCACACCATACATTTCCAGGTCCTGAGCTATCTTCAAATACTCCATTTCAGCTTCGTCCCTGTGAGGAGAATGGAAAACACAGTCACTGGAGTACGGGACAAAGGTGAGGGGCTCCGCCAAGCAGAACATTCTGACCCTGACACCCTGCAGGGAAGATGGGAGAAAAGCGGACGGTGGCAAAGCACAGCCTAACCCTAAGTCTATCAGACACAAACAGAAGTTCCCGTTCCTGTACAAGTAAGAAAACAGATTCATTATGCTGCCTCTTGGCTTCAATTTCACACTTCACTCTTGGTGAACAGTGACACCTGTCTCAAACGATTCAAGGAAAGTACACGGGGGCTGGAGGGACAGCTCAGTAGTACAGCACCGCCTAGGATGGGCATGGCCTGGGTTCAAACCTCAGCACCCCAAAGAGAGAAATATATAGTATGTTATCTTGTACTCTCAAATGGGTTTCGGTGTTCAGATTTTATTTAAGTTGTCTTGTCTTGGTGTACGTTCTACTAGGTGTATATATACATATACATACATTATACATGTGCATCTATCTATGGATAGATAGATAGAGATAGAGATGCTTTGGTTTTGTTTGGTTGTTTGTTTTGGTACCGGAGATCGAACTCAGGTCCTTGCATTAGCAAGGCAGGCAGTGGAACCACTGAGCTAAATCCCTGGCCCCTGTTTTTGCTTTTGAGACAAAGTCTCGCTAGGCAGTTCAGGCTGGCTTTGAACTCACAGCGATCCTCCTGCCTTGGCCTCCCAAGTGCTAGGACTAAGGATCCAGGACCACCACGCCTGGCTCTTTGTGCACTTCTTAAACCTAGGTTTTAGTAATGAACAATTCTCCCCATCAGCTACCTGACAGCTATTTTCCTGATTTAATTTCTTGGGGTATTGTTGGAAGTTAGGGCAAGAGCTATCTGAGCTGTAAAACCCAAGCCAGGTCACCACTTATGTCAAATGTAAGCTCTTGGGGGTAGGAATACATCTCAGTGGTAGAGAGTATTTTAGTGTACGTGACACCTTGGGTTCCAGCCCTAGTGCTCCAACCAACCAATCAACCTAGGAAGTAAGCTCTTGAAGTAGCAGTGACTTGTAAAAAACTCCCAAATAAGTAATAGTACTAAAATATTTTAATACAAGCCTTCCTATGACCGTGTCCTTTTGTCTTTCTCTCTCATCTCAAAATGCTCTCAAACGGATTTTAAAAATTCACCCTGAGAGAACACCAAGTGTTGGCAAGCAATGGAAGAACCGGAAATCACACACACTGCTGAGGTAAACTGGTACAATTACATTGGGGAACTGTTTGACATTAGTGGAACAGCAAAAAACCAGGAGACAACTGAATAACCTAAATGTCCTTCACTAGTAGAATGAATGAATAATTTGCGGCATTCTGCACGAAAACGAGAAAATGTGTCACACGCCACAAACCCAAATCTCATAATAGGATGCTGAGTAAAAGACAGGCACAAAAAAATAGGAACTGATTTCGTGTAGTTTAAAATGGGCAACGCTGGGCTGGAGGTATAGCTTGGCGGTATGGCGGTTGCCTAGTACATGCAAGTCCCTGAATTTGCTCTCCAGTACTGCAAATCAAAATAAAATGGGTAATGCCTATGGCATTAAAAATCAGGAGACAGGGGCTGGGGATTTAGCTCAGTGGTTCTACCGGCTGCCTCGCAAGCCCAAGGACTCCAGTTCAATGCCCAGCATCTACATAAATAAATAAATTAATTAATTAATTAAAGTAAAATCAGGAGACTGGGCCAGGGATTTATAGCTCAGTGGTACCGTGCCTGCCTTGCAAGAGAAGGGTCTTGAATTAGATCCCCAGTATTTTAAAAAAAAAAAATCAGAGACTACCTTTGAGGAGAAAGGCAGCAGGGAGAAGATCATGGGCTGTTTCTTTCCCGAGGGTTATGTGTCATTTCACTTAGTGATCATTGGTTACGTACCATCTTTGAGATTTATCCACTTTTTGATATGCGTGCTCTATTTTTTGAAAAAGTATGTGGTAGGAGGTTGACTTTTAAGAAGAGAAAAAAAAAAAAGTGAATACAAAGACGATCAATTCCTAAAGCCTTCAGGAAATGCTAATAATAATGTAAGATAGGAATCTCACCTTTTAGTTTACAAAAATTATAGATTGGCCATCGCTCAAGCGCCGGGAAGGTAGGCCGCCCCGATCCACCTCCGGAAGGAGAACCACGCCTGCTCCCGACCCAGCCGCCATCCCTCAAGCGCCGGGAAGGTAGGCCGGCCCCGATCCACCCCGGGAAGGAGAACCACGCCTGCTCCCGACCCAGCAGCCATCGCTCAAGTGCCGGGAAGGTAGCCGCGCGGGTGCCCCTGAACCGCCATAACCCTCCCCCCGCCCACCCGCACTCTCGACCTCCTGACTGTGCAAGTCTTTGGACCCACTCTGCAGAGGCAGAGGTGGTCATCAAGGGTATTTTTCCGAGTTCCCAACTTTGAACATCTTTAAAGAAAGGGCGTGG